TGTGTGTGTGTGTGTGTGTGTGTGTGTGTGTGTGTGTGTGTGTGTGTGTGTGTGTGTGTCATGTTCGAGACAATCGTACGGCAGAAAGCTTTTCAGAAAAAGATTGATCAGGAGAAGGCAGAACCACAAACGAACGTCCGATTGTGCAAGAATCAAGAGGGGAAGAGAGACGGCAGCTCCACGACTCAGTGAATGGCTCCAGGTAGTTCCTTTGGTCTCTGCCTCTTATGTCTCCTTCTGGCAAGAGGACCCGCAGCCGGCAACCTGTGCGTGTGTAAAAGGGGAGAGAGGATGCCTCACTGCGCCTCCTTGATCCATCCCAGTGAACCCCTTGCAGGGTCCATGTCTCTTCCTTTGTGACTCGCAGTAAGCCGCTACCAGGGCATCTGTGGCGATGCACGGCTCGGTGGCAAGCGAGCATATTGAAACGATTGCAATGTCAGCCTGGCAATGGGCGTGTGAGAATACACTGCAACGACGCTTTCTAGGAAGGTGACAGTCGTGAGATATCACCATTGAGAGGACCAGCCCCCGGGTGTTAAGTCCCGCTATTGGCGGTTAGATTTGGTTCCGGGTACGCATCGGCTCCTGCCATCGAATCTGAACATGTCACAGCCACACTGTGGTGTTGTTGAAAAATACTCGAAAAGAAGACCAAACTGCCGCTACTGGGACTCAGGGACTCGGCCAACCACTCACCACATGCAGAAAAGACAAAAATTATGGCCGTGTATTTTTCCATGTTCTAGCGGACGATTCATTCTCATTTTGCACATTTGGTGAGTGGTTGCCCACCGCTGTAAGCCCCTCGGTAATCCAGGAATTTCATTTGTCTATCTGGATTCCAACTCAGGTCTGTATTCCAACAGCGTGCAGCAACTGACCATCACGACCATGGGCCTTGCCGCACCAGCCACCAAATGGCAAATTTTTGAATGTATACGGACTAACTTGATGTTACAATTCATTCAAAACGGTTGGCGTTTGGCGAGTGGTGCAGGGAGTCCCCTAGGCACCGCTAGATATGAAATTCCCAACGGGAAAAAAGAGAAACTACTGAACTGGCGCGGAGGCGGAATACGGGCAATGTAAAGAAAACAGTCGCTGAAGCCCCGCCAGGAAAAAACAAAATGGAACGCCGAAAAACAGCATCTGCGCGAGCTGCCCACGATGCAAGCAGCTGACCCACGCCCACCGCCATTCCTGCAAAGACTTCTCTTTTCGTTGCTGTTGTTCTGCTCTCTTTGCACATCGGATGGAGCAAAACAACGAAAAAACACATGACCCAGAATAACTCCCACTACGACAGAAGGGAAATCTTTTATACATTGAACACTCCACATTTTGCCACCCGACAGTGCCACGCAACACCGGCAAAATCCGTACCATCGGGGGGTGTTGGGGGGGGGGGAGGGAGTGAAAATTCGCCACAGACTAATGCCAACGAGATGCAAATCCAACGGCCAGAAAGCATCACTCGGGGTCAACAGGGGGGGCTGCTGCTGGTAGGTACTAGGTAGATAGCCCTCAGATAATCTACAAACAAGCACTTTCCCATTCGTTGATCTCTCTCGATCACTTCCTTCCTACTGACCCCTGGATTCATTTCTACTAAACAGCCCCTTATTGACATAAAACCGCTCAAGGAACTGTCTGTAGATGTAAGTTAATTCTAAACCATCTACCAGCAGAAATGCTGACGGGACCACGGGACTGACAATCCCTACAAAAATGATGCGCCAACCACCAGCCGAAGTGCTGAGTGGGCCCAATTAGCGGGCCCTGAATGCCAGGATCCAATAACAAAACCCTATAAAGCTGCTGCTCTGGACCATCAAGCGACCAGACAGACCAGCGAGTGGAACGAGTAATTCAGTGCCACAGAACCTAGCAGAAGCACGTAACGAGTGCAGTGACCGGATTCAACGGTTGGCCTTGTACAATCTAAAGTGTGGAAACGGTAGCAAACCGACAACCAAATTGGGGGTTTCTCGCCACTGAAACAAAAGGGGCGCATCGTCAGGTCGCCCAAAAGAATTGAATAGACAAATTGCCGACGACAATTTCTTCACAAAATGCAGTAGACAAACTGCTGACATCAGAACTGCCAGAATACCAGTAGGGGCAATCAACCGCTTAGCAACCGACAACCCAAACAGGGAGTTTATCACAGCTAAAACAAAGGGACGCATCGTGATGAGGCTCAGACAATGCGGTAGACAGATTGCCAATGTCAGGTGATTCACTCAATGCGATAGACAACCTGCCCAACAAAAGGAGGCCTGGGATAGTCATAAGACATATAACAAATCTCCTCTCCGTCGCTCATTCCATATTTTCATCAGGATCACCGTCAACAATGTCCGGTAGCTGTCCATCAGAATGATCATCTAGAACATGTTGGATTCCTCCAGTAGCCACAGCCTTCTGATAAGACGAACGCAGTTGTGGCTGCCAGTCTTTAGTCTGCGGACTCTGCTTTGATGATAATGTGCCGGTACCAGGTACGTCAGTTGCTGCAGTAGAAGGTATTTCAGCAGAGCCGGGGCTAGTGCGCTCTACAACAGGGATGGAGGCATCGTCTGAAGCCACAGCAGCAGTGTGGGGCGATGCAGACACAGAAGTCATAAGTCCATCTCCGACCGAAACCACTCGACCGATTTCATCCCCTTGTAATTTGATGTTGGAGGGAGACGATGAGACCAAAGGCGGGGTCTTGTCAGTTCCTGATGATCCTCTACTCCAGTTCAGTTCGCAAGTTCCCGAGTTTGGATCCACACCCAGACGCATGGGCAAACCGGCAGGGCTACAGAACCAGGTCCTCCTCTGGCTGTAGAACAACCTTCCCCGTTATCCGTTTCTTTACCCATCATATAAGGTCTGTCCAAAAGACCTGTTATGTAATTCTCGTGGACCTCTCGACTCCCCCCCCCCCTTCTCCACCGCCACCCCCCGCTGACGGTTCAACATCCATTATCTGATACAAATCCCTCATGCCAGCATCACTGCCACCCGTGGTTGCTGCTGTGCCTGTTGTACCTGCTGTCTGTAACCTGGTTCCCAACTTCTCTGTGGGCAGATTGGGTTCAGCCCCTGCCTGATCTACCATCCTCCCTCCCGTCACTCTGTTCATCAGTTCATCGTTGCCCGGCGATGTCCCGTTCGCTATTGCCATCGGTACAGTGCTGTAGGAGGTGGAAGTTTTCATAAGCAGTTCTCCCGACTTGCGGCCCCTTTGTGATGTAGTGCCTACATCAGGCATTACAATGTCCTTGCTGTCACCAGCTGCTGCAAGGCGAACGGCATAGATGGGGGGAGGGCTACAAGCCATAGCAGCGAGACCTCTGCTGACCTGGTCAGTGCCTCTCATTCCCACCTCACTGCCACCTCGCTGGTTTGCACCGCCATATCCAAACGCTGCAGCTGTTTTGAGGTCCCCTCCACCCGCCTTACCGAGCAGAGCGTCACTATTCTGCATCATGGCACCATTTATATCCATGAGATCAAACCCGGACCCAAATTCAGCCCGTTCCATGTCGCTGGCATAGTCCGCACACCCCAACCATGAATCTAAATCTTCCCATGGGTCGCCACTGCCCGAATGATGTTGGCTGTCGGTCCATCGATCTGACGCGGCCGCGTTGCCTGAAACTGCTCTGTTGAAGTTAGCAGTATTCATTTTATTCGCTGCCAGATTGTTGTTCAGGGCCATGAACCCTTTTCCATGCCCTACAGGTGCACTCGAAATGGGCGAGGTTGTGACGGGATATGGCAGAGCTCGCGGATGGAGTGGTTCGCAAGCAAGCAGCGCATGGGTGCAGAACTGGCTCAGCTCCGTCCCTGCCTCGTGGCGACATCGTCTGAAAATAGATAATGCCTGAGGAAGGAACGGTGGTCTGTGACAGTGAGGTGCAAGCACCGACGCCAAGAGTGCCTTGCATGCTGCAATCTGGAGGCTGTGTGTGACCGTTTTGACCCCTCCCAACGCTCCTTCAGCAGTACCTCCCACTCCTCCGGCACCATCTACACTGACGTCTGCATTGTGACAAACCGCCATAGCCACATTGATGATCACAGCATCCACCTCCGCCCGCCACCTCTCTGGGAGCATCGATCCCCCCACTGTCAAAAGTGCTTCGAGAACTTCCAACACCGCGATGTACATCGCAAACATAAGCGAATCTGTAGACACTCCCCCTTCCTCAGAAAAAAGAATACTGGCCCCTACAAGAGCTGACAGTTGTTCATCTGATAGCACGGTTCCACTCGGTTCTTTCCTCTTCCGCATAGTGGATGCCGATGCCTGACTGTGGTGACCGTTAAGTCCGATCCCTCCGCCAGATTGAAGATTTGGCTGCGGCATGGACACACCCATCGAACTGTGCTGGCTCGAGGCAACCCCCGAAGCTGATGTGTTGCCGACCAAAGGAGCTTGTCTTGAAGGAAAAGAAACACCAGCAGGCCCTTGCCGGAGGAGTTGGTTGCCCTTATACTGGTCGTGCGAATAGGACTTCATCATTCCACCACCAGCTCCTCCTCCTCCTCTCCCCGGTCCTCGCAAGTCTGAGACAGCAATGCCAACTAAAACAGGAGCAAGCGACAAAACCATCCCCCCTGCACCCGTTGCATACAGAAACTCCGTTATGACATTGTACAAGTGGATTTTGAACGTGAACACAGTGCTTCTCTTGTCATCCGGCAGAGTCGCTGATCTGCGGAGACAGTCGGACATCAGTCTCGCAATCTCACCTGCAACCGGCAACAATTGTCTTCGAGCACCTTTGAGAGTAGCAGACAGAAGATTCAAAGCCCCTGCATGGAGGACAGGCAACTCTGAGCAAAGCGATGCTTGCTGACTGAGGCTGGCCTGGCCGCCAAGTGATGACGTGCCCACAGGACGTGAGCCATCGACTGCAAGAACCCTCATTATCAGCCCAAGCAATGGCCTCAGAGGCATAGGAACGGGTGAGGGGTAGGGATTGGTAAGCATGAACTCCAAGGTGTGAAACAGGGCGGAGACGCGTGGCACAAAACTCCGCCAAAAAGGAGTCTCTCCGTCACCAAATGCTGCTGCCTCAGCTGCAACCGATGGGCCGCCAAGCGGCAATATCTCTTGCTGACATGGAAGCAGTTCCGCCATAGCCACCTCCGTTGATCCCGGATCCTCCAACCCGGCAAACGCCACATCAAGTTCACTGTTGATGGCCACAAGAACTCTTCGAATCAGAAGGCTCCACGTGTTAGAGTCTCCGACTGCAAGAGGCAGCAAGGCAAGCCCTTCTGCACACCTCTGCCTCAGCGAGTTCTTGCAGCCAGTGTTCATCAACATCATCACAAGCACCGCTTCCACTTTTTCAAAGCTGCTGCGAAGACAAAGCGGGAAAGTCCTCAGGACAGGGCATATCAGATCAACCCCCTCGGACCAAATTCCACGCAACTGCACATCCCTCAGCAGTTGCAAGAGTGGAACGGTCAGTTTTGACACCAGCGCTGAACCGTCCCTCCTTACTCCCGGGCAGTCAATGAGGGAACCCAACCTGACAAGCAGATCGCTGAGGGCAGCACAGGCTGCAGCTCTGACAAAAGAAGGTTCAATAGACTTCAACATTGTCAGAAGCGTTGAGAACCAACCACTGTAGCACTCACGGAACCGTGACAGCAAACACTCTTTGCAGGTGAGGCCTAGCAGGCAAGCTCCAATTGCTCTGTTCTCGACAACAGGGCTAGCAATTAAAGACGCAAGGCGGTCAGTCCATGTATCAACAGCGAGCTTCCGCGACGCAGTACCATTGCCCGCACACCCGTCCAGCTTGCCATTCCCAGTGAAAACCGCAGGACCTCCCGTGCGCACAGATCCAAGGCCACCGTTTGTCCCCGGCTCTGCCAACAAGTGATGTCTGGTCAGCATCTCGACCGCCGAAGGCAGGTGCTGTGGCGTCACCGGCAGCTTGCCATCTCTGGGGAGATGGGTCTGGATCAAGAGCTGAAGAAGTCGGGATCTGAAGCGGACATCATGGATGCTCATCAAAACTTCATCTTGAGCACCTGCCTTCGCAGTCGTCATTGCAGCTGTGTGCTGCTGCCGATCACTGCCCCTTGAGAACGCAAACCCAATCCTTGTAAAAATCCGCCCCCTCTCACCAGACCCCACCCCGCCACCCTTCTGTGAGGGTAAAACTCAGCTGCAAACTTCAATGCCGTTGGATGTCAGATTGACGGAAAATACGACAGTTTGGGAGGGAGGAGGGGTTGGGAGGTCGGTGCAGATCGCGAACACGCTGTTCCTTCAACTGCTTCATATTACCTCTTCTTTGCTTATTATACATGCCGAACAGAGAGCACACGTGCTTGACAAGCACAGAAATCCATGCCTTGCCTTACAGGTCACCAAGAGATTGTATCATACAAGAGGGACCAGCGCGCGGCTCCGCCCACGTCAGGAAAGGGGAGAAGGAAAGGGGAGATGGGAAAGGCACAAATCGTCGATGGAGAGATGTATTGAAAGCGGTGTGAAGAAGTCGAGGTTCAGTAGAATGAGCAGTTGTGACAAGCATGTTTGTAAGGACTGGTAGAGAAAAAGATGGGTGTGAAAGAGGGGAGGAAGGGAATGGTTGTTACAGGAATTTGGACGTTGTATAGCTACTGACGTTGATATTGAGGGGGAATGTCGAGAACGATAGTGATACCAAAGGAATGCAGGCATGTAGGAAAAAAACAGCAGTGGTCGTTTGTTTGAAAAACAAAGATAGCTGAACAAAGTACACGGATCCTCTATGAGAAAGAAAGGGGTTTTGCGTCTTTGAGACGAAGAATTCACCCCTTCCTAAGCCCTAATAACACCGCCATCCCTTAAAGACATAAGTCAAAACCCTGCACGCCATAAACACTACGGACCTTGGCAACAAAGACTTAACCCCCTCCTGCTCCTCTTGCCCCGGCAAGTCAAGAATATACATCATTTACACACCTACACATCCTTCCATTTGATCGAAGGATCCAACGAACAACATTGATTACTACTCACCGAGAAACACAGGGACGTCAGCCATCTAGTCTCTCTTGGTTTGGCCATTTCTTTCACTGGGTATAGGGCCTTGCCACATTACTCACCAAATGCACAGAAGACAAAAAATACAGCAGTGCAACTTTCCAGGTTCTGGCAAGACATTCATTCTCATTTTGTACATTTGGCGAGTGGCGCGGGCAAGGCCCATGCTCACACTGGGACTTTTTCAACTTTCCTGTGGATGTAATTGCCGTTAAGTGCATCCAGGTTGGACTGTGAAAGAGGTCAGATGCATCCAGGAAAGTCCACATGTGAGTATGCCGTCAGTCTTGCGCGCTCAGGCCCCAGTGCACAGCTGCTCTTTCATGTTCCGCCCCCCCCCCCACCCTTTTTCTGAAGGGCGGTAGCCTTGAGATATCATCATTGATTGAATTGACCGACCCGGGGCTGGGACCCACATGCGCCGTGTAGTTTAGTTGGGCGACGCATGATGGGCAGCTGTGGGTGGCAAATCCTTGACGCATGATGGGCCCGGATGGGACGTGCGCACCCTCAACCCGCGCTAATGTGAGAAGAGCGTGCGGTTTGGGAGGAGGCGAGGCCGTGTTCTGCGCGGTAGAAAGCGATTCCAAGAAAAGTGCGAGTGCTAGCGACATCGACCGCGGTCCTCTGCTTTGATTGTTTTGGTGGAAAGTTCCCGATTTTACCGCCACTTCGAAGTTATGGAGGGAGGGATTTTACCGTGATTTTACGGCCACAAAACGGAAGATGATTCGAATTGAGGTGGCCACAAAACGGAAGATGATTCGAATTGAGGTTGGCCACCAACCACGGGACGCCACACCCGCTGACAGCCGATGAGGACGCCACGCCAGCTGACAGCCGATGAAGACGGCACGCCACGCCCGCTGACAGCCGATGAGGACCACGGGGCAAGCAGGCACAGACAAGTTCAGGTTTCTGGATTTTCTGCCCCCCCACACGTCGCACACTGTCGAAAACTACAACTACACGGCGCATGTGGGTCCCGGCCCCCGGTAACTGGGAAGGATTTTGTTCCGTTGGCCCCGCTATGGGCCGCAGAAGAAAATATAGTAGAAACGTTTCTAGTAGGATGAATTTGGTCGCTCCTGTAGTGTCCCGTACGTTTCCTAAAATTATTGTGGCTTGTTAACGGGGGGCATGACTTTAGGAAGTCGTACTGGTGGTTTAATCTGATTGCGCTAGATGGCCTGCTGCTGCAGCTTCGCTTGCAAGAAAACAGGAGGGAATACCACCGATCCTTTTTTCGGTCTTTTACTGTGAGAGTTCTCTTTGAGAAACAACGTTTCTTGCTCTGCACTGTGTGAAATGACCCACACAGTTGCAGTCCCCGAGAACTCTCTCGGAACTTTCAGAGAAGATGCTGTCTCGTTAATGAGTTTGCTCAAGATTACAATTCTGAGTCTGTTTGCTGTGTTTTGGGAGTATGTTTGCGATCAACCCATCTTGTCTGGATCCCACATGCTTACTTGCTGACGTTAGAGCCTTTGTGAGCGTGTGTGTCCGAGTGCATGTCTATGTGTGTGTGTGTGTGTGTGTGTGTGTGTGTGTGTGTGTGTGTGTGTGTGTGTGTATGTGTGTGACTCAATTCGGTGGGTCAAGATGGTGAGATTGAAATATGGCAGGAGGTTCGCTGAGATGGTGATTGAGAATTGGTCGAGGGCAGCTGTAGGAAATCCCCTTGGATTGTAAGAGTGCCACTGTCGTTATGCAGACCTTGTAATGCATGAAAAAAATGAAGTACTCAGCATCCAATCTGCTTCTTGGCAGTGGCTCTTTGGCGGGGGAAGTTGTGGGAAACAATGTATGTAAGAAGACGATATGATGGCGTGCATCTTGTAGCATTTCCTGCAAGGCAAAAGCCAAAGAGAAACCGAGCAGCATGTGTCAGAATCACTTTCTGGACAGTGTGGCAAACCCTCCAGCCTCCCATCCTTCATCCAGCTGATGCCTGATGCCTTCCCTCCCTCCAGCCTCTTTCCGACCTACGTCCACCCAACCTCCTCTCAACGTTTTCCAAACTTTCCCGCCAAATTACTCGGGGGGACCGGTAGGCTGAGGCATCAGCTGGAGGGAGGACGGGAGGCTGGAGGTTTGACTGAGGGAGCATGCAGGCCGGGTGGAGGGTGGGAGTAATTTGGCGGGAAAGTTTGGAAAACGTTGAGAGGTGTTTGGGTGGACTGCCTCTCAACGCTTTCCAAACTTTCCCGCCAAATTACTCCCACCCTCCACCCGGCGTCCATGCTCCCTCAGTCATACCTCCTCCCCCTCTACGCCCATCCTACTCCTCACCTGTGGTAACCCATCACCCCTTCCACTCTCCTGTCTCACTGGAGCAACCCTCCTCCTTTACTGAGCCCACCCTGCTCCTAAACTGAGCCAACTCTCCTTCCCCACTGCACCGACCCCCCTCCATCTTCTTCATGCTCTCTCTCTCTCTCTCTCTCTCTCTCTCTCTCTCTCTCTCTCTCTCTCTCTCTC